CATATTGGAGATTGAATATCCCATTTCTCAGGTACCTTTTGAGCTGGAAATATCATCCTTCCCTCTGCACTCAGCCCCCAGTGTCAGGCCATAATTTGCGCTTGTACCATGAATGGAGATTAAATTAACAAGAGAGTTTTATTGCTTTGCCTGGTTTTTTTTTTTTTTTTTTCCCTAGTTGGGTACATGCCATCCTTGGGTCAATCACAGTGGGCAGTAAGGTGCAGGAAGATGATTGACCCGGATTGGGTTATAGTCCCACGTGATGGTATTGGTAGTTCTCATAAGAAGGACAGGACGGAATGCAAGATAGACATCTACCATAGTCCCACATAGACTGATCCACAGTTTTATTTAAGACATACAGTTGCCCTTTCAGTTTATAAGGTGTCTTATAATTTATATAGTCCTTTTGCATATATCAGTGGACGACATCTGAACCACAGTTAGATTTAGTTTCTGGCTTCTCTTGAAAAACAGAAGCTCCGGCAACTATGGGGTGACATTCTATACGGCCATAATCAGAGCTGAGTAGACAGGGTGAGCACTCCAGTTTGTCACAGTCCCTGTCCTTTCTCTATTGCCTCTCAGTCCTGACTCACTGTACTCATTTAACTTCCTTACCTAATCCTGTAGCCATTGGGTTTGCTGGTCCCCAGAAACATCACATTCCATTCACATCTATCCTGTGAACACCAGTTATCCCCATTTTATATTTTAAACCAAGACTCAGGGATTCAACTGACTTTCCCAGGATCACACAGTTAGAAGGTGAGACCCAGTTCCTAGATTTTAGAGATGAAGATCGTTCAGTTTTCCTGCACAAGCTTGAATCAGTTGTGCATAGGTTTCATGCTATATTCTATGTAAATGGAGCCTTTAGAGTTATAGAGACAGCACTATACATGGAAACCCTGAAACTATTTTCCCTTCTATTTCACCATAGTCATAATTCTGTCACAAATTTGGTTGAAATAATGTACTTCCTTCAAAATTTACTTTAGAACAAATGTGTGTGACTAAGTGAAATGATGAATGATCAGGTTGGAACAGACACTTCAGTTAATTGTATCAGTAAGTCCTACCACATGCAATGGTAGCACTTGTCCAATTTATGGAAATGATGTGGTGAGGTCTGCAACGAAGAGGTTTGCTCTCGATTTTCTGGTAAGACTGTGATGTTTACCCCTGGCTGCATGTTAGAATCACCAGGGAAGTTTTATTGATTTTTAAACTGATGCTTATGTCCTGTTACTAATGGTTTGAATATAAACTTTAACAAAGAAGATGTACGGATAGCAAAAGAGTACATAAAAAGATGCCCAACGTCATTAGTCATTACAGAAATGCAAATTAAAATCCCAGTGACATATAGTAGACTCCCTCGCAGACAAGAATGGTGAGGATGTAGAACAACTGGAGATCGCATTTCCTGCTGGTGGAAATGTAAAATGGTGCAACTACTTGGGAAAACTGTTTAGAAGCTTCCTCAAATGTTAAACTTATGCCCACCATAGGATTCAGACATTCTACTCTTAGATATTTATCCAAGAGAACAAAGCATACATCCATACAAAGACTAGTACATGTGTGTTCAGAGCAGCTTTATTTGTAATAGTTCCAAACTGGAAACAACTCAAATGTCCAGCAACAGTTAAATAGTTAAATTGTGGTGCATCCATACAGTGAAATGCTACTTAACAATAAAAAGGAATTGACACATAGAACCACATACATAAGTCTCAAAATAATTATGCTGAGTTTTAAAGAAGCCAGAGCAAAGAAAGAGAACATACTGTATAATTCCATTTATATATAATTTTAGAAATGTAATCTAAATTAATCTATAATGACAAAAAGAAGAGCAGCCTTTGCCTGGGGATAGGAATGGAGGAGCTAAAGAAAGATTACAAAGGGCATGAGGAAACTTTAGGAGGTATTGTAGTATTGTATATGCTCATTATCTTGATCATGGTGATGGGTTGGGATGTATGCCTATGTCACCATGCATGAAATTGATCATTAAATATATGCAGTTTACTATATATCAATTATGCCTCACTATGGCTGTATAAAACAATACTGATGCCTGGATCTCAGCCTCAAAGATTCTGATTTAATTGGTCTGGGTGGGGCCCTGGCTTCTGTAATTACTAAAAACTTCACATATGATTGTACAGCCAGGGCTGGTTCAGTGATTTCAGCTCATTACAATTGCCCTGGGCTAGGAAGTGTGGGAGAGACTCCCAACCTTTGTATACTAAGGCAGAAAGGGCTGCACTGCAGCTGCTGCTCACCTACAAGCATGCAAAGTTCTCTTTCTAATCCATTGCCTCGGCGCTCGAGGGTCAGGCCTGGCGCCCTGGCCATTGGAGCTACTTGGTCTTTCACAGAGCAGAAGTCCCCCCATCCTCACTGTCTACCCATCTACTCCACCTGGCCCGGCGATTTCTTAAGACTTCACTTTCCTTTCAGAGCTGCCTCTGGTGAGCATGTCAATGATATTTAAACTACGTAACAATGTTAGTTAAAGGGGTTCTATGTGTAGAAACAGTGTGACTTGCTCTAGCCCGGTACTTTCTTATAACACCTGTCGGTACAATCTTGGGCAGAACAAGAAGCTGACACCAGCTGCTTGGGTTTCAGAGCTAAGGCAACACACTGTGGACTCAGAATCCTGGAAGGTGGGAGAGAAATGCTCGCCACCCCATGGTCCCAGAGATGGCAGCAAAACATGACCAATGGCACTGACTAGAGATCATGCAGTCAGGACCGTCAGCTAGGGGGCTACTCTTTCTGTTCAGCGCAGAGATACAGCAAGAACAATCTTGTTGCATGCTTCTTATTAATCTGGGCAAGTCACTTAAGTTCTCTTTGTCTTTATTTCCTCACTTCTAACATGGAGATAACAGGATCTTCCTCATTTACCTCAACAAGGTTATTACAGGGATCAAATAAGAAAATGAATGTGATCATGCCTTTTCAACACATAGGCAGTATTATTTACTGTGATTATCTCAGTGTTTTATAGAAGGGAGAGGGGAAGGCGTACACTCAATTGGTAGGAAGCTGGCTGAGCCTCATGGGGGCTGAGTGGGTGTAAAGAATGACATCATTGCAGTCTCCAGAAACTAGACTTGCTGTTGACATGACTTGGGTAATGCCATACTCATAAGGGTAAGAATAATAACAATAACAGCTACACTGTAATGAGCACTTACTTTCTAGACACTGCACTAAAGTGTGTGTCTGTTTTATTCTGAGTTTACAGAGGAGGGCCCTGAGGCTTAGGGAGGCTAAGGACCTTGTCCAAGGTCACAGAGCCAGTAAGTGGACTTGAGTCTGAATACACCACAGTCCTGCTCCAGCGCCCACAGTCCTAACCTGCTAAGCTTTCTCCTGCAAGGGAATGTCTCTCTGCTTTCTGCAAACATTCTCTCTTAATCCCTCCCAAAACAAGCACAGTTTTGCTAGGAATCAGAGACATAGATCTTTGTTCTAGAATTTTCTGTGCTATCTGGAGGTGAGAGAGGGTGTTTATGATCGAGTTTTCAATGCAAATGTTTTTTCCTTAGCTTCTAAAATCCCAGTGAAATAAGAGGAGGGTTATCAGCTAGGTTGCAGAATGTGGGGTTATCTGCCATGTAGAGTTTGTGGTTAATACTCATTGTTTGAACCTTCATGTCCATCAAGCTGTGTATTAGGCACAGAGGGTAGACCAAGAACATAGTTATGTACCTGGCGCTACAGTGCTTTGATCGCACGCCTTAGAGACTGTGGTTGGGGAGGTGAGGAGACTGATAAATAATATGGCAGACAAAAAGCTAATGTCTTTGGTATACACATATCTCACAAAAATACCAAAGAACACCATCACCATTTTTTGTTATTGTTGTTATGTAAAGTCACAGTTTACCTTTTGGAAGGGAACGAGTTTATAGAAAGGCAGATTAGGAATGCAGTCTTTCCCATATAACATATTTTATTTATACGTATTTTTACTGTCAAAAAATCTTTGTAAATGGGCAAAGGGTTTCAGAATATAAGTTCTCATTTTGAGAAGAGAAAATGCAAAGTCACTACAAAACGTTTATCTTTAAGAAAGTAATGCATTCAGCCCCTCTAACTAGAGGTGAAGTTGTAGAGTCGGGGGGAAGGCTCTCTATTGCGCCCCCTGGTGGCAAAGATGCATCATTGCAGACAGGTGCTCAACTAGATTCCCCGAGTAATTCCAGCCCCCCATTGGGGTGTTTGATTTCAAGGCACTGTGAAAGAGTCACTTTCAGGAAAATGAAGATTAAGTAATGCAGATCACAGCATTGTGGGGGTCCTGAAAATACTGACGCCGGATTCCCTTTAAGAGGGGACGTGCTCAGGCGGCCCGGGGGAGGCTCACAGACCTGCCAGTTTGAGAGCAAATGGTACCGATGGGAAAACTGAACAGTTTCTTGCTCAGGCCGATCCCGGTTCAAATTAAAATCCAACCTTCCTTTGAGAAGGAGCAAGGACTTTGGCTCACCTGGCAGCCTGGAGTGCCTGCTGAGGCTCCTCTTGCTTTCTGCAGCTTTTAGGTCTGTTTAGCCAGCTTCCCAGAAACCACCAATCGAGTCTTGGTCTGCAGAGACAACATTGAGTCCGATGAGGAGCCCCCCCCTCGAGGAACTCTCGATCAAGTGGTCCCTCTGGTCGGTCAGTTCACCAAGCGTCCTTGCCTCCTAGCTTGTTTACTGGCACAGTTCCAGAATGATGTGGCCCTGGAGAGCCATTCATTTACTACCAGCTACTGCCTGGCCAGCTACTGCCTGGTGTGGTGAGAAGTGAGAGGGTGCATGAAAAGTGCTTAGCCCATGACCGGGGACAGAAAATGCTTCCAAAATAGCCACTGTCATGCCAGCGGTGCAGTTGGCAGGCATCGCCCTCCTTCCTAACTCCCCTGGCAGGCTGCGGAGGCAGGGCGTGAAGTCCAGCTGCAGGTTTCTGACACTGTCGCGCATGCTCACGTGCCACTGTCGCGCACGCTCACGTGCCACTGTCGCGCACGCTCACGTGCCACTGTCGCGCATGCTCACGTGCCACAGGCCCCTTGAGCCATGTTCTTTCTTGGAGAAGAGTTTCATGCTGCCCCTCTTAGGGCTCCAACTCCAAGCGGTTGGGTTGGACAGAGAAGATAAGGAAGGAAATCTGCTCACCAACACCCACCTCTCTCCAGTACACTTACACAAGGGCTGAATCTCAGAATTACTCACCGTGAGAATTTAGATATTGTGCAGGCATTGTCTCCAAATGCTAACGTTATGTAAGGACATGACATTGCTTTCCTCACAAGATGGAGGAAAACCAATTTTCCTTGTTTGGCTTAGGCTGAGTCGTATGAAAAGGGCACAGAAGAAATCAAAGATTAAATAAGGAGAAACTATGTCCATCTCCGCTGAGAAAGACAGTGTTTTGAATATAATCAAAATGAAACTGGATTAGTAAAGAAACTCTCAAGATCTATTTAGAGTTTTTTAATTATTGAAGGTGGCAAGCGGACCTTATCCTTGAAAATTATTTAATACCCTTTCCCTTGAATGAGAAGCATGATCAATCACTCGGACATTGCCCAAATATCCATTCAGGCTTGGCTGCATGTAGGTAAATATTGTGAACATGGCGAGGCTTAATCTCTTTAGCTGCATTGCTTAAAAAAAAATAGAGGGATCCCCTTGGAGTCTGAATAAGAAGTTTCTCGAAGCTATGAGGCCCTGTGTGGACCCTCACCTAGCTGCATCTGGAAAACTGGGTGGACTTTTTGATGTGGTTTCTCCTCCCTGCCCTTAGCTCACAGAAGCCTGACACACTGCTGCTCTGGCAGCTACCCTGCTGCTCTCAGTGGTTGTACATCTAAAGTGTCATTTGTCACTGGTGCTGATGAGTAGCAACTGTTGCAAAAAGCAGCAGAAGCTTAGCAGGGCCAGTGGCAGGAGGATGGGAGTTGTGGACCGTTGTGTGAGTTGATCACAGTGTGATCTGTCTCTACCGCTAAACTGAAAAAGTAGGAAGAGGAAGATGATGAAGATTTTCCTGTGGGATATGAAATAGGTGGGGATACAGATGAAGCCCTTTAGGACCAAGGCCAATGGAAGCAAGAATGAATGCCTGCCTTCCACAGGCATTCTCGCCATGACTGTGTGGATCCATCTCTCTATAGGAAGGCTCTCATGATTTCCCAGATCCTTCTCGTCCTAGGAGTGATCAGCAAAACACCTCAGACCCATTTCCCCGGAGGAGGGTCCATCATGACACATGCTAATCAAGGAGGGATCTTGCTTCCTCAGAATCAGTGCAAAGTAGGAGAGCACATCAACACTTCCCAGATGCATCTCCTCCTTGGAGACGTAACCATGACTTCTTAGACCCATCGTGCCCCAGGAAGACCCATCTTAACTCTCCGGAAGACACATTTTGATCCAGGAGTACCTGCATGAATTCCCACTTTGGCTTCTAACGTCCAGCATTTTCTGCCCAGTACCAAGAGCAGTGAGACATCAGAAAGAACCTCGAGCAACTCTTCTCCATGTTGGAAGGGCCCAAGACCCATCATTAACTCCCAAAGGACAACAAATATAATTCAGCCCTCTCTGCCATGAAAAAAAAAGCAAACAAAATCCCATTCTGGAAGTAAAAAGCAACATGACTTCAAAGGGTCTTTCCCCAGCATAGGGAATTTCAGATAAGTTCTTCATCAGGAAGTTACACCTGGACTCTACCCCCACCAGAGCGAGAGCAGGAAGGTCTCTGACTCACATCCATCCCTTATGGAATAGAACTTGACCATGGTGCTCTGATTCTGGAAAAAGAGATTCTGATCTGACCCCATTCGAAATGGTTTAAGTTCCTGGAAATAAGGCTGGAAAATGCTTTCTGGGGCCCAGACTGACATGTAGTAAGAATCATGGGAGCTTGAGTGAGACAAAAAAAAAAACAAAAACAAACAAACAAAAAACACATGGAGTATGAAGCTGAATTTCAAAATGCTAAAGCCATATTTTTTGATAAATCCAGCCATATAAGGAACTTGGAACTGGATTATTTGGAGAAAAGGAAAAAAATCAAAGAAAATGAGGAGTCTTCCCAGGGGTGAAAGGGGCTGGCCCCAGGTCAGCCAGAACAACAGAATGTGGAGATGCAGAAGCCACTGGACTGCTGTACCGAGGGACACTTGCTCAGAATACAAGAGAGAGGACTCCCACGGCCAAATTTATTAAGTAGAATAAGTCTCAGGAGAACAGAGATGAGAAAGTGAGGCCTCACTGCAGTGGCCTGGCACCTCCATCCAAAAGATTTGATATCTGACTGGAATATCCCAAATATTCCACAAATATTTGAATTTGTGGTTCAAATACACAGTGTAGTTGAACTACAGCAATTTGCAGGCTTGCAAACAAGAAGGCTGCAGAAGAACGTGCATACAAGGGGAGTGCTGAAAATAGGTAACTTTTGTGACTGAGGGTGTTAGCATGGGGTTGGACATTCAGCTGTATATCTGTCTTGGCTAACAACTGGGGCTCACTCAGACCAGCAGAAACTTTTTGGACATGAACTTTGATCTTAGAAGGATTTGGCGTTTGAAGTTCTAACTAGGGGCACCATGAACTTCTCAGCTATTCCGATATAGAGGAAACACTGATTTTTCAGTATCCTTTGGACATGTACGGTTTGTTCTGGTTAGGGGTTTTCTTCCTTTTGCATTTGCTTTTTGAATTAAACGTGCACATTTATTAGAAAAAGCATAAAGTCACTCAACTTGTACTTCTAGCATTAATAAGGCAAGACCAGAATCGGGATTGTTCTTCTCCTTAGAGAGCAACCAGCAGCACAGAGACCTTCTCTGGCAATAGGCTGTCAAGATTATTGACATCAACAAGATTCCACATTCTATGAACAACATCTTGGGAGCAAACAAATGCAAGTTCATAACAAGGAAGCGAGTTACCTAACATATACTCAAGGAAAAAAAAATCAAACCAAATTGGCCCAGAGATAAGCCAAAAGGATTGCAGCTCAGCCAGTGCTGGACAAGGTCAAGGTGGGGATGAAGAGTTTAATGAAAATCATCTTGTTAGGCTATATAATAACCGAGCAAAGAAGTCTGGAGGTGGACTGCAGAGCCTCCTCCTCTTCCAGATTGACTGTTTAGAGATTGTCAAGGGCACCATGCCCTGCTATTGCCTCGTTTCTGCTGGGCACAGAGGATCAGACCCCTGGACAGGTGCTGTAAGTACTCACTAATGGCCACTGAGTCCCAGGAGACCATCACATTTAAAGTGTTGAGCAGAGAGTCTGGAATAGTTTCCCTCCACTTCCACTGTAAGAAGAAAGCGCCATTGCCAGACCTCCTGGCATGGAGGGGCTCCACCCCTACTGATGAATAGTTTTCCCCTTGGCCATCACTGCCCTGAATTTTTGGCCCCACTTTCATAGGTCCTACCTCCTCAGAGCCCCTTGGACCCCTCTGTGGCCTCTGCAGCTCTCTGGGTCTAATCTTGGCAGCTGGTATCCACCAGCAACTTCTGGGTTCTAATCCCAGCTCTTGGGGTTCCCCCTGCATTGCTGGTGTTAATACTGAGGCTCAGAAGTCCAGCCACCAACCACAGCAGCTTGCCTCCAGACTTGAGGAGTCCCCCAGCTTCTGGACCTCCCCCTAGCCTGTCAGAGTTCACCCACCGACCCAATAGTGCACACTGATTCCCAACTCCCCAGGGATGAGATTCTAGGAACTTCAGAGGCCCTCATTTGCCTCTGATTCCTGGAAATATTTCTCCTCCTCTTCCAAATGAAAACCTCTGCCTGTTCCCTACCAACTTGTCTTTTTCCTTCTAATTTGTCATATTTCCCTCCATAGGGAAGTGTTGGTGATTTTGTATAGTGGAATGCACTGTCTCCAGAACTGATTGAATAGCTTCTTCCTCTCCGTCATTATAGGAAGACATTGCAGCAACAAAAATTACACTAAATTGCTCAATGAAAGGGCCCTGTGCTGTTTTACATAAACTATAATTACAGCCATGCAGAGAAGCATTAATACAAATAAGGAATAACATTTTAAATAAGAAGGAAGAGATTTGGCTTCTACTAAAGACAACGTATAGAGCAATGAAGCAAACTTTTGTCTGTTCATGGAGATTCCCCTGTTCCCACTATCTGGGAGCTGTGCATGGAGCTAGACAGCAGGTTAATGAGGCTGAGAACAGAAGGCCCAGTTCAAACTGCTCTTTGCTCTGCTCTGGTGGGTCACATCCTCTGTTTCTCAAAAGGAAAAAAAAAAAAAAAAGCTTTCTCAGATGTGACATAGAATTTATGTTTATTACTTAAGATTAAAATTCTAACTTCTATATCTGTGTGAAACTCATGGTTTTTGAAACATATTTAAAGATAATTTTAAGAAGCCATAAAATGTGGCTTTGTGTGGGAAACAGTGGTAGCTCATAAACCGTAGCAGCTGTTGACTACTTGGCTGTCATGAACTTGAAGTGAACTCTTTGGGGTTTTAAAAAAAACCGGTTTCACCTGCCTATTAAAACCCCAGCCTACTAAAAACTTAGTGTCCCTTGTGAAGCTTGAGAAAGCAGCTTACACTGGTATTTTCCCCTGATGTAGTTGTTTGAAATACATTTGAATTAAAAGAATCTCTGACATTTTCTGAATCCACACAAAATAAGTTGCATTTTTTTGGTGGTGGTGGTTCTTCATCCTCCTCTTCCTCCTTCTCCTCCTCTTTTTGTTTTGTTTCGTCATTTT